TCAAAGTATTTAAATTTTGAAATTTCAAAACGATAACCTAAATTTTAAATTTAGATGATAAAAGAAATTTTCAGATAAAGGCCTAAGAAATTTGTATTTTTAGAATAAAATATGAAAGAGCTTAACAGATTTTGGGCCACTTGCTGAAAATTAAGTGAAAATTGGTGAAAAAAAAGTCATTATATTTTCTTTGATCATTTGGATTGTTTTTTTGTTTAGGTTAACCGGTTACTTTTGTGACGTAGCATGTTCGGCAAATTTTCTTTAATTATATTAATTAATGACATGGATGGTTTTTTCTTTGAAATTAATAAGGTGGCAATTTAATTATGTGATAGGACCATTGATATTGAGCTATTAAAATCAAATAATAAATCAAAATAATTATCCCCAGGAGGGAAGCAAACTAGAAAAGTTGTACGTGGTAGAAAATTTTTTAATTAATAAACATAAAGGATATGATGGGCGTTACATTAGTGTATGGGATAGGAGGTGACAGTGTCATTCTAAATTGGTATAATTTTTAGTTCATTTGAGAATAAAATACCATTTGTTACTTTATGAATGGCGCTACGCTTTCAATCGAGTTCAATGTTCAAAGTTGTCAAAAGTCAAAGATAGGCGTCGGAGTCCCGCATCCATGGACTACCAATGTTTTAAAACCCGACGGATCGCTGGTCAATCGGTACAATCCGGTTTTTCAGAAATTTTCTACTTTTTATACATACACGCATGCTTACATATATACAAAACCTGGAAAAGAATATCAAGGATGGGAATTTATAGTTCAAACGTTAAAGAAATAAAAGGATATTCACCACTAAAAAAAGACTTATAAGACCCGGTTATTTCAATTAAATAATCCGGTTTTCAACCGGGTCTTATTTCCAGCGAGTTCTATGTGAAAAAATAAATAAAACTCGGTTTCAAAACCGGGTCCTTTTATGCTTAAAAGAACATGGGAAATGAATGTAATTCGAGGGAAAATGATTCCAATTCCCTCGAATTCATGCGTTTGGTTGGACTTAAAGGAGGGAAAAGGATTCCTAAATGAAATAAGTTTTCCACAATATGGTGGAAAGTGAATTATTTCCAAAGTTGGATGGAAAATATTCATTCTCCTCAAGGAAAGTGGAAGATTACAAAAATAGTCTTTGTACTTATCAAAAAACTCACCACTACTACTGTCACACCCTAAAACCGGAACGGCGGAAACGTTCGGGGGCGGAGGACGTCATGTACAGTAACACAACAATGCATAATAGTAAACAAGCAACAACATCATCCATTGCATTAATAGTAATAATTTTAATACAAGTGTGTTCTGAAGTTTATAAGACACCAAAATATATAATCAAAATAAAAGATGAGTCTTGAATGAGCTCCATCTTCTCAAAACCTGGCCATCGGTACCTGTCTACTG